AGATAAATATAAAATTAGATAAAATTTTACTTGAATGCAAGGTGTGATAGAACGTTGTTCTATATAATAATCGGTATGCTATGCTACGCTATATCTATGCTAGAAATAGATAGAACAGATGGAATTAGAAGGAGGCATGACCTAATAAATCAGCTCAATCTTATTGTAAAACATATTAAAAATCATCTAGATATAAAATTAGATAAAAGTTTACTCGAATGCAAGGTGCGATAGAACGTTGTTCTATATAATAATCGCTGAAATGACTTAGAAGACATTTACATTTAATAGCAGGGTTCGAACAGTAATGAATAATGAACAAAAAAATTTTTATTAATTTATTGAAATTTGGCTAAACATACAACGCTATTTCGAGTCTTGCCAAGTACTCATCATCAGTGATATTAGGAAATATTCGTATTTTTTATTTAGTTTATAGTCCGCATATAATTTGTTGGACCGCAAGTACCAGGCTTAGAACTCGTGTTTATCAAATCAGAAACTATGACTAATCGTGTGTTTCCAAAAGTAACTATTTAATTCTCAAAGCAATGAAGATGGATAATATTGATCTCAGATTGATAAATATCAGATATCCATATGATCGATAGGTATAAGATAAATATGTAGATGACTAAGTTTTATTTAGTAATAGCTGAACTGACTTAGAAAACATTTATATTTAATTCTTAATGCAGCGAATATGGATAAAAAAGATCTCAGATAGATAAATAACATCTTTCTCAAAACAATGAAGATCGATAATAATGAGATCAGACAGAATTTCACACAAAAGCTAGGTTAACTCAAATATTCAGATGTGTTATCGTGTAATCATTGTATAGCCTTAAAAAATCAGCTGGACTTAATCTTTAAAACTGCGAATATGAATAATTTCATCAGATGAGATTCTCAAAGCAGCGAAAATCGGTAATAATGAGAGAATCAGCTAGATATAATCTTCAAAATTGCAAATATGGATAGTTTCCTCAAAATATTCATTCGACAGATAGATGAACTTGAATACTAAAGATATCAAGTCACTTTCATACTGGCTATATTAGCACAATAATTGTACGAATTGAAAGCAATGTATATATTTCTATACATTCCTATATACAAAATCTTAAAATCCATACAATAGTAACATATATTAAAAATATCTTGCACTTACCTTATCGCAAAAGACCTTTATTTGACAATAGCCTCGGTGAAAGACTTGCGCATCTCTGGGATCTTCGAATGTGTCAATTTGTATGTGTAGTGGAAGACCCTAAAAAAATATAAAAATTTATAAAAATATATAAAATAAAATTTATAAAAACAATTTTAATACTAATCATTATTTTTTAAAAATTAATTGCATATCTTATCTAAGACAAATTAAACAGATATATAACGATGCTGCAGTCTTGCAGTCAGACTGAGTCAGTCTTCTTTATAGAATAAATTATACTCTTCGCTTAGGATTCTTTTTGACCTTTTCTAATCTGAGTAACATTTTTCTAATACAAAACAAATTGATGTTTCTAATTGTCAATAAAATGACATCATAAATAGCTTCTGTAAACGTTTTTTAATCGTTTCTAGTGAAACATGGAATTATGCAATTGCATTTGTTTACATATTTGTTTCTTGAGCAGCATTAAATCGTATTTTCTCAGGCGAAAGACACTTGTAGATACATTAAAACATATTCGATTGCAATTAAAATTGTCGGTTATTAAAGAAAATGAAGTAATATGGAAAAATATGTAAAAGTAAAACAGATTTAATTGCCATAAATCAATAACTTCCGCTTTACGGCAAGAGAACTGCTGTGCCAGTTTTCCTTTTCGTGTCTGGGATACTCATAAAAAGTGAATAAAATCATGAATGAAAACGAATGAAATTTTATTATAGCCATAAAATATTTAATTAAAGAAACTCAATTACAAATCGGATATAGCATTGGCTGTAGACTGCATGATATACGCACCTTACGACTATTTTATTTCATAAATAAAATGCAAATAAAACTTATATTAATAATATGTTTGCAGGAAGCCATTTCCTAAAAACTGAAATAGTCGCGGTAGTAAATTTTCTATAGATCGTACCGTATCAAGTCACATGTTAACATTTTTTATCTCTTTTTCATATCAAGGAGTTCGATAATATATGTGTTAATTCTCCTCCCAACAAATTAATTAAAAATTTACATTAAATTGATTTTTAACGTCCGTTTTGACGAAAGAAACTAAATTCTAAAAATAAACTATGATTTTCAACAGTGAGTTTTTTATCGAACAGTAGTGAATTGCAACAACAAAATTTTTATTAGCTTTAATTAATTAAATTGATGACTGACAGTTGTTTCTAGTAAATGTTACTCAAAAGTTTTCTTTGAGCGCGGAAAGCATAAGCAAAACTTAAATTAATTGAAGTTTAAATGAACTTAACTAAAATTAAATAGTGGTTTAGAATAGAATGAGCATCTCTAAAATGTAAAGTAAATATATCTGGAAAGTGTTATACTATTATATGTATAGGGACCTTCTGACATTAAAAGGTTTGCAA